GAAGTCAAAGTCCACTTCACCACGCTAGCTACCTCAAGCACAACGCCGAATACAGCTGATATCAAGGGAACTGTTAAGAGCCCAAAGTGTCAACTTTGTGGCGCTGATCATTATCTGGATCAATGTTAACAATTTACATGCAAGAACTTAGAACAACGAACAAAGGTGATTATAGATAAACGGCTTTGTCGTCTCTGTCTTAAATACGGTCATAAGTCGAGTGAATGAAAACGATCGAAGATGTGCGGTATCGATGGATGTAAAGGTAGACATCATTCACTACTTCACTCAACCAAGTTCGAAGGAAGTCATAACACAACATCTTACGGACCACCGCCTCAAGTGAAAACTTCTGCGTCTAAGCCCCCTGATAGTACCAAAATTGTGAACTCAGTGCACTGTAGTGCATTGCAAACGGAATCATCGGAAATAAGTCTCAAATTCGTTCCTGTRAAAGTCGGTCTACCTGACAGTGATAAAGTTATCGAGACATATGCTTTTCTCGATGATGGCTCGGATGCCACTTTATGTCTACGAAGTTTAGCAGAAGATCTTGGAGCTCCATGTACGCCAATAGACTATGTGATGTCAACAATGTCTGGAAGTGAGGAAAAGAAGAGTGAAATACAGTTAAGCCTGGATGTTGTCGGTGTCTCCACTGGCAAAGGTGTTCGTCTGGAAAGAGTACTAACAACTGTCAAATTGCAAGAATGTCTTGACGAACAAGGAGCTTGAAAGGTGGCAACACTTGAAGGGAATTGATCTTTCGGAGTTAAGCAACAAAGAAGTGACGATTCTTATTGGCAACGATTCCCCGGAAGCCTTGTGTCCTCTGGAGGTAAGGAGTGGTAAGAAGGGAGAGCCCTACGCAGTTCGAACTTTGCTGGGGTGGTCCATTGCGGGTCCACTTAAAGGAAAGAAGAAAGAAGTTGCTCATGTGAATAAAATCCACGTTGACCAAGTGCTTGGTTGTGATCGTCCTGAGACCGCCATGGCGAATATCGAATTTCAGCTACAGCAGATGTACAACGCAGAATTCACAGAAATTTCAGCATCAGTAAGAGAATGCCTATCTATGGAGGACCGGCGAGCTAAAACCTTAATGGAAGAATCGGTTGAATTTGTTGATGGTCACTATCAAATTGGTTTACCCTGGAAGTACGACTCCGTTAACTTACCAGATAATCGGAAGATGGCTGAGAAGAGATTGACCTTACTTAAGAAGAGATTACAAAGAGATCCTGATTTGTTAGAGAAATACACTGCCACCATGGAAACGTATATTGATAACGGCCATGCAGCGAGAGTGATAGGAGAAGAAGAGGCAACCAAGGGAGAAGAATGTTGTAACACGTGGTACTTGCCACATCACCCTGTCGTGCATCCACAGAAGCCAGGAAAAGTGAGAGTGGTATTCGACTGCGCGGCAACGTACGGTGGAAAATCTCTCAACAGCGAATTACTGCAAGGTCCTGACAATACCAATTCATTAGTGGGAGTACTCTTACGTTTTC